GGGGGTGTTGATAAGACCAATGCGAGGTCGAAACTGCAGTCCACTTCAGCCGGGATGAGAACAACTTTTGCGAAAGCAAAGCAATGTGAAATTGAATGGAAACGTCAGCTCAACTCATATCATTGTGGGAAAATTCCACTACCAGTGCTTCATTACCTTGAACAAAATTGGGTGAATACATCTCGTACTACTGATTTACTGGTAGTCTCAAAAAAATATTTAAATGCGAATTTAAGTTTACCACCCTTCATGGTTTGGGCAAATTGAGAATCTGAATCTGATAACTGCTGTCAGGCCAGAAGAGACGAGGCGGTAGGACAGTCAGCTGAGGACTCGCTAGCCCAAGTCGGCATCAAAGCTCCATTCAGCCCCGAAACTCGTCCACCATCATTTTCAGATCAACTGAAGGGTACAACAACGGGAATTGCCTTAGGGACCGGTTTGAGCTGGTTTTCGCAACAGAGAGACTCTGTGGAAAGTACCTTGGCTTGCTTCCTTTTTCATGGTATTCGTGATGATTTCTAACATCGGACCGCCAACTCGGTACATCCCCAGACGTTTCGCCGGCATCACAGTCATTTAACAAAGTGACAAGTTTTAACCCGAAGGATGGCGCTTCGCGTTGACCATGTCTGCCCAACGTCTGAGAATGTATCAAGTCGACGGTGTGCTGCTGGAAATCGCCATGCATAGTAACACACAGAATGTAGGACAAGATTCATTCACAAGATCTCCCTGTCGCCCCGATCAATTTGCCAAAACGTGGTCATGCCAACATTAGAGAAATTAAGGAAATTACGACTAAACAAAAGGGCCCACTTTCTTGGTCTTCATATTTCGAACTACTTCAAAGACTCTTCAAAGCTCATTTTCGCATCATATGAGGTTATGCAATCTGTGTTGTGTTTAATCTACATGAAGGACTGGTAGTAGAATCGTCCCACAATGATATGAGTTGAACTGACGTTTCCATTCAATTTCACATAGCCTTGCTTTCCCAAAAGATGTTCTCATCCAGGGAACCTGGAAACGTCAGCTCAGCTCATATTATTGTGGGAAAATTCTACTACCAGTCCTTCATCACCTTAGACGAAAATAGGGTGAATACATCACATACTACTAATTTACTGGTAGTCTCGAAACTCTACTTTAATAGGAAAATATTCTACATGAGCCAAAGATTTGCGTGTAGAAAATGTATATCGTTAATCTCCGCCTAAGTTGAGGATTGGACGTGAAATGCGGGGTTGATTCATCGATGCCTGCCGGTTATCGCAAAAAATTAACATTCACTCACCAAAGACTAGTTGATACGTTTAATGTGATAAATGAAGAGTTGAACAGGATCTGTGGGAGCCCATCTCCCAAAAGCCAAATGGGCAATTGAACTGGTCTGACGCCCATGACCTCATCTTTATCGTTGTCCAGCCAGTTAAATGTTGCTATGGTCACTGTCGTATTGGGATATGCTAAGTGAAACCCCAGAAAAATGGGTAGAATAGAAAAATGTGCCCTCACTACGAAACGAATCGAATTATTACTCGAATTGGTAACAGGAAATGAATGGAGGATGAAGACGAGAGCTAAGACGCGGATTTTGTCCAGAAACACTTGCAGTCCGAAGGCCCGACCCTGTTGGTTGGACGAAAGTGGTTTTTTCTTGGCGAGAGGGCCTAGACGAGAGGAAGTCGGGTGTGGAGGCTCGGAAAACGATCTACCAAGCCGGGCTATGATCCGTCCAATATGAGTTTATCGGCAAATAGCTCGAATAAAACTAGAGAGAGGATGTATTCAGCCTATTCGGTTTAAGGTGATAAGGTGACTAGTATTTGATTTTCCCCACAATGATACGAGTAGAGCTGATGTTTTCCGTTGAATTTCACATAGCCTTGTTTCCGCAAAAGGTATTCTCATTCAGGCAAGAGGTGAATACAGTTTCGACTTCGCTTCAACTCGTCCTATCAGCACCTCTAGCGGGACTCGAAATATGACAGTTGAGCAAACAATCTCGACACATTAACCACTAGGCCACACATTGTCATGAGTATGCTTGGGTTACAGGGCAGATGTGAATTTCAAGGAAATCCAGCCCTTTTCCCATTTCACATTCTGTGCTGGGATTGTTGATAAGGTAAAGTAATATTTAAAGAAGTTGGCCACGTTTGTCGGAACGTTAGTCGACAGAACGTTTGTCGAGGGATTGACTTGACTTGTCTCTTTGATGAGTTCATAGGTTGGTGATGATGATGCCGACCACGATGCTGGCGAAACGTCTGAGAATGTATCAAGTCGACGGTCCGATGCTGGGAATCGTGACAACTACTATGGCAGACGACTTCGGACTAGGTCCGTTCTACATAGTCACCCTGACAACAAGACCAAATTGCGACAACGAGGTCAACCCACTTCTATAAATCGAAAGGAAGCTGCGACCATACCATCTTGGTCCTCATATCTTCGATTAAACAAAGTTGTATTTGCTTTAACAATCGAATACGCTACTTATTTTTCGTTTTCGAGACCCCATTTGCTTTAAGGTGATGAGGGAGCTGGTAGCTACTTAATCGTGGGAAGTTCGAATTTAAGTCCATATTTCCCTTAGGCAGACCTGTTTGATGAAGAAGGCCTGATATTTGGGTCTCCCGTGGAATGAGTCCATCGCCATAGCCACATTTCTCCTTACTTCCATTGTCCAAAGTGACATCTAATATGATTCTTCTTCGTATAAAACCCCGCTGTTGCGTTTGTCAGTTCCTCATAGCAAGATTTAAATCGACTGAAAACGCAAAAATGGTGACGTCCATCTCCACATTTTCATGATTTGGCCTTGAGTAGAGAGCAAAATAAACCAAATCTTGGACAATTGAGGCTCTTAGTGGAGGCCTGGAGACCGCCGTCCTGGCTATGGAAGTAAGTATGCTCAAGTCTAATGCTTGGACCTTGTTCCGGTGTGATGCATACTCTCGCCACCCAGTAAGTAGTTAGACGAAATACAAATATTATGGGCTCACCAGACTTCCTTTGGCTCCGTGAACAAGGCGAGTTCGCCTCCTTTGGGTGTGGCAAATGAGTGGATCCCTTCGAAGGAGCCCACACCTCTCATGTGATGTACAAGTAGACGTCAGAATTCCCACAATCTGATTGATAGTCCTCATGACGCCAATGTGCTTCACTTCACTTCACAAAGCCCCGTCTTCCCCAAAATCGTATCACCTCCCCCAGTGGGATTCGAGCCCGTGTAGTCTGTAGTCTGTAGTCTTACGACTCCGCAACCCTCTTCATCTGAGAAAACTAGCCGGGATTTGGACCTAGACCGGTCGTGGGTCACAAAACTAGGAGAGACGGCCTGCAATGCAAAGATAAGTAGACCCAGGTCCGAAACACCGATTACAAGTATCGAAAAAAGGGATTTAGTAACTCAGCATACTCGATAGTCTTCCCATACCAGTTGAGCTTGGTACTATCAGCAATACACGAGTGTGGACTTTGTCAGCCTAAGGCTGCTAAGGTTGAGTTTTTCTCACAAACAGATGAAT